AAGATTCTGAAGTTTGTTAGCGGAGGTATAAAATCACTGAAATGGCATGAAGACACTTCATGTCATTTTACGAGGTTCAGATGGTTTGATGGTCATTTTTTTTTTTTTTTTTTTTTTTTTTTTTTCTTGCCTGTTTTTATTTTGGCTCAACATTGTTGTGTGCAACTTCATGTCATTTCAAAGTTTCGGGTGGGGAATCCTGAAACCTCCGGAATGACCTGAAGTGATTGAATCTTATGAAAGCGGTTTCAAATTCCCCCATCCAAATTTTTTGATTGAGGCATCTGAAACCGCTTCCAGATTTTCAGCCACTTCAAGCCATTTCAAGAGTTTCGGGTGAGGAGACCTGAAACCTTTGAAATAACATGAAGTTGCAGAGAACAATGTTGAACCAAAAAAAAAACAGGCAAAAAAAAAAAACAAAAAACAAACAAACATAAAATTTGACATTCAAACCACCTGAAACTCCTGAAATGACATGAAGTGTCTTCACGTCATTTCAGTGATTTCATACCTCTGCTAACAAACTTCAGAATCTTTCGTTCTGAAATTTCAGTAAGTCGTTAACCACTTGTGAATTTAGAGTACTTTTTCAGTTAGCCCACTCATGGCTGAGTGGCAAAAATGGAAAATGTGTCGAATTGGCGCGAGGATTATTTCGTCGTCTAAATGATCTTTTGGAAAATGTTCTCTCTCTCTCTCTCTCTCTCTCTCTCTCTCTCTCTCTCTCTCTCTCTCTCTCTCTCTCTCTTAGTCTTATTGCTTTGGCTACCTTAGGGCTACGTTCCTCATGCCCACGCGGTAGACAATACCCAAATCTTTTTTTTTTTTCAACCGGGATGACCAACGCTATCTGGGTTCGCAGCCCTAAGCCTACGGTATAGTGGTCTTCGGCGTCTATGTCAAGGTGTCGCATTTTTGGCAGCGACGAGACCACTATGCAAGTGGGTTCTTAGGAGGGGGGAGGATTTAGGGGACCCGTCCTTCAAGATATTGCAAACGACCTAGGACTAACTCTTGTAGAACCATGAATTTTGGAAAAAGGAAGGACCGGTTTTACGGTGGAAGCGGACCCCAAAAAGAACTAAGGGCATGTGAACTACAAAAAGACCCTCATGTCTAGGCATTAAGGCCGTTCTCTCAAAACAGGAAGGTCTGGCGCAACGAAACACACATTTTACAAAAGGTACTTGAGACAATTTTCTTTGCTCGGAGGAATCCACATGAAAAATCTAAAATTTTGGGAATCCATAGATAAAATCCTGTTATTTCCAGGAAAAATATCAGAACATTTAAAAAAAATCATTTAAACTGCGAAATACTCATCGCGCAGATTCAGTGCATTTTCTACTTTTGCCACTTAGCCATGTATGCGCCAACTTAAAAAGTACTTAAATTTAAGTGAGTTTTCTCGCTCAGAAGAATACGTAGAAAAAAAAAAATGGAGTACTCGTAGATTTTGTTGTGATGTTTACAAAAAAAATGCTCAATAAAAAAAAAAAAATCATCCCAACTGTGAAATAGATCGCCATCGCAATTTGACTCATATTTCGATTTTCCCATTCAGCCCCCCCCCCCCTCTCTCTCTCTCTCATTACTAGTGGAACAACCAAGGATGAATCGGACTATCACCAAGTGTGTGAAATGGCCAGGACAAGAGTGTGACTAGTGAGAACACATGCATATGACTAGTGGAACAACCAAGAATGAATCGGACTATCGCGAATTGTATGAAATGCACAAAGCAAGAGTGTGACTAGTGAGAACACATGCATATGACTAGTGAAACAACCAAGGATGAAACGGACTATCACAAAGTGTGTGAAATGCACAAAGCAAGAGTGTGACTAGTGAGAACACATGCATATGACTAGTGAAATAACCAATGATGAATCGGAGTATCACCAAGTGTATGAAATGCACAAAGCAAGAGTGTGACTAGTGAGAACATATGCATATGATTAGTGGAACAACCAAGGATGAATCGGACTATCACCAAGTGTATGAAATGCACAAAGCAAGAGTGTGACTTGTGAGAACACATGCATATGACTAGTGAAACAACCAAGGATGAATCGGACTATCACCAAGTGCATGAAATACACAAAGCAAGTGTGACAGATCATCAAAACACTAGGATGAGCACAAACAAGAGTTGCGATTTGCTACTAAGTGAAGAAATGGAGAGAAAGTGAGGGGAGAGTGAGTGAAACTTACTTTTATGCATGAAATCTCAAGATGGGAAGTGGTGATTCACATAGAAGTGAAGGAATAGACTAACCAAGAGTGAAATATCATGAAAACACTACGATAAGCACAAACAAAAGTTGCGATTT